AAACTCATGTGCTTCCCGGGCCGGGGGCCTCACAGATCCCACACCGCATCAGCTGTCTCCTGGGCTGCGTGGGTCCTGCACGCATGTCCCTATCCTTACGACCAGGATCTTGTTGAGCCTTGAGGATGTCCTTCAGGGACACAAGCAGGGAATTCTGCGAAGTATGCATAGCGTTGATAGCCTTAGTCTGTGATTCAATAAGCGAAGCCAGCTGCTTGTCCTTGTCTGGGGAGTGTTGTGCCACCGCCCCGGGGCACGCATGCTCATCCTCGGACACAGCCGCCGCAGCGTGCTTGGCCGTCCGAGACTGCTTCCCCCTGTAATCCTCTATAATCTGGCAGACCTCAGTGATACCCTTAGGTCGACGCCTTCTCAAAACCGGCCTGGCTCCCTCCGGGGCACAGGCAGTAAGCCGATCCAACAACATACGACTCTTAGCCAAAGGGGGAAGTTTCGCCTCCGCCGGTAACATCTTGTCGTACTCCTCCAGGGCCCGCTTCAAGATGGCCATGAACTGACTGACATGACCCTTCCCGTCCCAAGATAAGGCGTGGAACTTCTCCAAGGCCTCGTCGAGACGAATCAGGTCAAAGAGTCGTAACATCATCTCTCGATCAGCAGCGAAGTCCTTCTTGCCAGCGTTCTCAATGAGAACTTCTCATCCCAAGTGTCAAAATAGGAATCCCTGAAGAAGCTACCCAATCTCTCGGCCATCATGTGCTCATTCCAACCGGCCGCCCTGGCATCTGCCTCGAACCTTCGGAACCAGATCCTTAGGTTGGAGACTCCATCATATCTCTCCGGCATCTGGGCGGTCACCACTTGCAACGTCTGACCAGTGAGGAGAGGCGCCAACATGCCTCTCGTCTGTGATAACTCGGCCTGCTTGTTGTCCTCACTGAGGACAGCCTGAGGACTCCTCAGCCGATTCAGTAACCATACTTTGATGCTTCAGTGTCGGGATCGCTTGAGGGGGTGACCTTTCCTCTAACACGCGGTTATACTCTTCAACTGAACGCCTCGCCATCTCGGCCGCCTGCTTAGCCGCCGCCTCACCCAACTCAGCATGAATGAACTCGTCATAGGCCTCCTCAGCTGCCTCCTTAGGATCACGACGCACCAAGGGGGCCCGAGGGCCCTCCCCCTCCGCTCGGGACAGAGTAGGGGTAGAACCAGAAGCTGAACCAACCATCTCGTAGTTGTAATCGTTCGTAACAAGGAGCTGCTACCCAAAAGGTGTCGGGGTATCGGTTGATGAACTCTAAGAACAACACAATAAGGGAACTCGAGCTAGAGCAACCAATACTACGACCCTAGGACAATAACAACAAGCGCACTACCTGCACTCAAGTTCTGTACGAATACTTACTCTTAGCAGCACAGTAATCGATATTGGGGTCATTCGCTATACTGAGGAAGGCGAAGGATTGATGAGATTACAAGGGTGCAGGCAAACTGGACCCACAACACACGTAATCGATTGGGCGTCACGTCACCATCTGGGCGTCACCCTTTGTTGGGCTTTACGACATTGCTTGTGGTTCCTCACGGAATTACTTCGCTTACGAGCTCTGGTGTACGGTACTAAGTCGACCTTCGGCCCAAAGGTGGGAAAATGGGAAAAGTTTCCCTTGGGAAATTTCCCACTTTCCCGTTCCCGGAAAAACTGCCAGTTTTTCCCTTGGGAAAAATGCGAAAACACCTCGTTTTTCTCTCCCTGAGCAGTGTAAACTACGGGTCATACTCATAAAGCGATCATGTTTATCCCAGTGTTCTTAAATGTCCATAGTAAAGTGCAAGAGCAGTGTTCTAGCCGTGTGAGCGATTTTTCCCACCCTGGGCGCGCGCTTCTCCACAAGTCTCTCTATAGTGCGTCTATCATCGAACATTACTCTCACGAAATCTGAGTCAGATTATCTGACTCAGTTTTAGTTATCCAACGGCTTGGGAGTCCAAAACTTCGATATATATACGATTTCAGTGTTGAGTTGGGACATTGTTGAGGGCCAGTTGGCCGCGACCAAATGAAAATGATGCCTGCTGAGATGTTGTCGTGCCTTCCAGCTGTTCCAAATACCAAATGCTTCGAGTGGACGTTGGCAAAAGTGGCATGTGTACTTCCATCCATCAGGGGTATAACACAGCTGGTAGAAACCATCGGGCTTAAACTCTCGCTTCGATGGACCGTCCATCATGAGCGATAGACCGTCTATCATAGACGTAGCGTTTCAAAAAGCTAAGAACGAAGTCCCTAACGCAGATAACCAATGCCCTGAATCTTCACTCAAAAACTTCGAGATTAGTTAGGATAAGGATCTCATCATACGTATAGACTATCCACTGATTATTTGAATAAACCTATGTAAATAGCTAATTGTAATGAAAAGCGCGCGCCACACCATGAAAATTGGAACAGTTAGTGAGAAGTCATATCTAGGGTAAGTACGACATGGCCGCTGCCCTTGAAGACTACGAGAGCAGCATTAGGATAAAAACACCCTGTTCTATGACAATAGACAGCAACGGGTAGCAAGTTCTATGGTATTTGTCACTATTGATCGCCATTCTTGTAAGTTACAATGTACCCTGTTGTGTACAAGTTGTAACTATTGATATGACGATTTCTTCATCATCATAGCTCGAAAGGAACAGTATGTTCACGACCTCGACTTTGAAGGCGTTTCTGGTCTGTCGATCGAAGTGTATCAGATGGAAAAACCAGCCAGTAGATCCTCTTATCAGGGAAAAAACATTTTCCCATTTTTTCCAATATGGGAAATTTCCCGCAATTTTTCCCGGAATTTCCGGGAAATTTCCCATATTGGGAACAAGGTGCCATTATTCCCAAAATGGATAAACCC